TGCTTATACTCACCCAGGGAGGGGAGTGTTGCCAGACAGTTAAATATGAAAACCATCATATCTTCTTGCTCATTTTTTGAAAATTATAGCACAGGCCAGGTACAGTTACTTGTGCGTATAATCCTAACCTTTTGGGAGGCTGAGGTTCTAAGTTGTGGTAGAAGCTGCAGCTCGAATATTAGTTGTTTAAACAATCCAGAAATTTACTTCCTTCTCATATAACACTGCAGGACAAGCAGTCCACCATGGCACAGCAGTTCCATAGCCTTGGGGACCCAGGCTCCTTCTATCTTGTTGTTCACTTTTCCTGAGATATTGTCCTCATTGGCATGACTCAGAATGGCTCCCATTGTGCCTGCAGTTTAGCCAGAAGGAAGGAAAAAAGGATGAAAGGCAGGAGGACATGCCCCTCTTTTTCCAGACCTGATCCTGCAGTTGTACACATCAATTCTACACACATCCCGCTGGTCATAAACAGCTGAGAGATGGAGTTTTCCATGGGTGTCCTAGTGTCTAACTAAAAGTTATATTTCTGTGGAAGAAGAGGAGAACACCATTTGGGTGACAACTGGTAATGTCTGCCACAGGTGTCTTTTTAAAATCTTAATTTGGGAGGGATAATGATCATTTAGATTCAAGGATACAAGGTTACCCAAGTTCAGTTCTGCTTTTTCAGAACAACAGACAGGTAGGAAACAGCTTTGAATGGTTTTAAGCACATTGCAGGCCAGAGGCTACCTGAAAGGTGAAGCTGAGGTTCCTAACTCTTTCAAGACACCTTGGGGAAAAACTGGGTTCAAATCTACAACCAGCCACAAAGTAGTAACGTGGCTGAGCCACAGGACTGCTCTCAGCCTCAGTTCTTCTTTTTCCATAAAATGAGGGATTTGGACTAGACTTCTGGTTTACAAACTGAGTTCCAGGGGACCTTAGGATTCCTCAGTGTCGCTTCAGGTGGTGGGGGCTGGCTTTGAACACTTCTTCCTTGTGTATTTATTTGCCAAAAAAACTCCATTTTGATTGGGTATGTGTCTTAAGGTTCTGTGTAAATCTTCCTTTGGAGGAAAAGAAGGTGGGGCTTCTAATGCTAAAAAGAAAGTTGAAAGATGCCTGGACAGTGTGATACCTAGTGGAGGCAGCTTGGCATCATGTCAGATTGCCTGGATTTAAATCCCAGCTCTGCTGCCTAGCTTCTGTGGCACTTCAGGCTAAAGTACTCAACTCTCCTCAGCCTCTAGAATAGGATTTCCTCATCCATAAAGTATGGTCATTGTTATTTGCTTCTCAGGATTGTCCTGAGGCTTAAATGAGATAATATATTTAAGAGGGCTTGTATTAGTCCGGGTTCTCTAAAGAGACAAAACTAATAGGATAGATGAATATATGAGGGGGAGTTTATTAAGGAATATTGACTCACATGATCACAAGGTGAAGTCCCACAATAGGCCATCTGCAGGCTAAGGAGCCGGGAAGCCAGTCCAAGTCCCAAAACCTCAAAAATAGAGAAGCCAACAGTGTAACCTTCTGTCTGTGGCCAAAGGCCAGAGAGCCCCTGGCAGATCACTGGTGTAAGTCCAAGAGTCCAACAGCCGAAGAACCTGGAGTCTGATGTTCAAGGGCAGGAAGCATCCAACATGGGAGAAAGATGAAGGCCAGAACACTCAGCAAGTCTGCTCTTTTCATTCCTACTTTTATGCTGTCAGCTGATTAGATGGTGCCACCCAGACTGAGGGTGGGTCTGCCTCTCCCAGTCCCCTGACTCAAATGTTGATCTCCTCTGGCAACACCCTCATAGACATACCCAGGAACAATACTTTGCATCCTTCAATCCAATCAAGTTGACACTCAGTATTAACCATCACAAGGCTTAACACATGTCCTGGCATAAAGAACATGTTGAATAAATGGCAATGACTGTTATCATTACCATGACCATCAACTTTAAGGCTCCAGCTTTTGGTTCTAAGACTTTGAGTTTCTTTGAATTATTGTGCAAGATGGAGGACCCATTGATGAGGGAATAATTATTACCGGATTTTTTCCTTTGCTTTTGGATTTTTGCAGGGTTTCTCAAAACAAGGCATGGGAGAGCCAGCCCATTGCAGGTAAAACAATTTGAACAGAACACATCGGAGTCTGTAATTTCAAATGCATTATTGAAACAACTTTTTTCTTAACAGAGGAAACAAAATTAATCTTTTAAATCAAGGAGGAAAATTATTTCATTTTAATGCTGCACGTGGCAAGAAAATAAAGTGCAAAGTTTACAGCACTTTATTTCTTTCGTATCAGGAAGGAAGAAGGAAAACCCCATGGTATTATGTTTTGTCAAACATGACTTTCCAGGGACTAAACCAGACTTTGATTTTAGACCCCTGTTCATTCTAGTTTGGTAAACCCTTGACAAATTCCAGTCTGTTCCACCCACAGGAGAGGGTCACGTTACCATCTCAGCTGCAGAGCTGATGAGGTGGTCGTACCGACCTGTAGGATCCCAGAGCTGAGACCTGGAGATCATTGATTACAACTTTCTTCATGGGCCAGTCAGATGTCATATGAAGAATCAAATGAGAGAAATGTGACAGGCTTCTGATCCTCCCACTCATGATTTAAAATCTTCTCTAGAACATTCTTGTTATATCTTTACTCCTACTTGTAGCAAGACCTTAAGCCACCCCTATTCCATCTCATTTTCTATCTCTGTGACTGTTCTTGCTTGTAAGTCTTCAGCCTGAGCACTGAATTGATGCTCAGAGTTTATCTAAAGCCAGACTCTTCTCCATGTTATTCTCGACAGATGGTCAGTTCTTCTTCTTGAACACATCCCATGACAGGGAACTCACTGCTTTATTAGGAATCAGCCGTTCTTTTGGAGGAGAGCTCCAACTTATTTGAAAATTTCTTCTTTTGCCCCAAAACTTGTTTTCTAATATATATCTATCATATATGTATATCTACGCTTAGCCTTTTTTAACTGTCTGGATCAAGCCTACATAAAGTTTAGCCCCCTTCCCCAGGCTGCCTGGCAAATATTTGAAGCTAACCCACCTCCATCTCCAGGCTTAACCTTCTGAGCTCTCCCATCATCTCTGATCCCTCATGATGACCCTCACGTGCCTGCTCAATGACCTCTGGGCTTCCCCAGTATTGTTGAAAGCGCGCTTGTTAAAGTCAGTTCACCCAAACTAGTTACTAAGCGCTGTACCTACTTTCATTCCTGTTTCTCCATTTCGCCCCATTTTGCTTGTAAAGCTCTACTTGATACCCCCAAATAATAGTTTGATTAATGTTGGAGAAAAGAGGAAGAATATATACAAGCTAAGTTCTATGTCTCTTCATACATTTCTGTATCGACATAGCTTTTAAAAAACAGTTCCACCGTAAAAATTTATGTATAAAATCTGGGGTTCGCCAAGACTTTCAGGCCTTTTCCAGTGACTATTCCCATATTTCAGATAAAACTGGGGGTAACTGCTGCATCTTTTATTTGTCCTTGCTACATTTCCCTTGGCTTTGAGAATGTTTGTGTTTTTGGATTATCTCTAAAATGTATGAAGGTAATGCTTATATCTATTTCTATCTTTAGAAATGTTAGAGACCACATGCAATTAGACACAA